CGCTATTTCCTTCTGCGCTTGCGCAGCAAAAAAAAAAAAAAAAAAGCGGCGGGCGGAGGGACGGCGATGGAACCCGGAGAGGAGGAGGACACTTAAGGGGAGTCCGCTCTCCCTCCTGCCCCTCCCCGAGCCAGCATCTGAGATAGCAGCAGTACCAGCGTGCAGGCGGGAGCTGCAGTTGCTGCGCTGCGCGCGCCGGCCGGCCAGCCGCTCAAACGAGACAGCGAAGGTCTGAGAACGCGTGCGCGGGTGAGACCCTTTAGAACGTTGGGGGAGTCGCTCCGCCGCGCGTCGCAGGTAAACAAGGAACGGCCGCCAAACGGCCACTTTCCCGGGGGCTGCACATCAAGGACGTGAGGAGCTGGGGCCGTGGCGGGGGGGAGCGCAAGGGTGGCGCACGCGCAGTGTCGCCTTCCCACCTGTATCTCCTCGTTCGTTCCGCTTCTCGGAGAGTTCTTGCACGCTTTTCCCCGCCGCGGTTCACGCGGAGGCTGGGTGTGTGGGCGTGTGCCTTTCAGGCGTGGGGAAGACAGACCCAGCTTTGGACAGGGGCTTGTATGCTGCTGACCCTGCTCCCTTTGCATGGGGGACTGTGGTCTGCTGTGTCCTCAGCCTTAGGGTCCGCTGGGCGTTGCTCTGCCTTGCGTGATCATCTTGTTTGCAGAGGTCTGGGTGCAGTCGTGGTCGGCTTTCTCACGGCCACTTGCGTGGCCGTCTGCCAAAGCGCCTTGCACCCCCGCATCTTTTGCAGCAGGAACCAGCGTGCTCTTAACAGTATTGCTGGATCCCGTCACTCTGTGGGTTGGAGACATGGGAACGTGTGGACCTTGCGTGCACTTGCCTTTTGGTGAACGCTCCTACGGTAATAGTTTTGAAACGGACCTTTCTCCTCTTGGGATAACACACCACCAACTATAGGAACCTGGTGGTAGTGAGATTTATCACTACAGCTTTGTATAACATGCTTAGATTTATTTATTTATTTGTTTATTTCCACTCTGTTTTTCCAGAAACCTACAACTTGAGGAGGACTGATCATTCCCTTGCACTAGGCCCATCTAATGGTTATCTTCTTGTGCCAGGATCTTCAAAAACAACTGCGAGTTTGAAGAGCTCTTGATATTGCACCTTAAGTGATAACTTTTCTTTTTCTTTTTTAAGTCCTTGCACTGGATCCGACATTTCTCCTCTTTGGTTTGAAAAAAGACACCGCTGTCTCCCACTCTCGCTTGTCTTTTTCTGCACCAGAATCATAAGGGACATTTGCAAAGAATATATTCTTTCCTGGCATTCACAGTGGAAAACAAGTGGATTATGATCTTACACTCACCACGGATGTTCTAGCGTTTGGGTATACCTTGCAGATCTTTGCCTTTGGATTTTTTTTCCTGGTTGAGAAAAAAATTGCCTCTGTGCATTTTGCTGAGACAAAAGATATTTGCTTAACAGAAATGTTGTTCAGGTTCTGTGATGCTGCTTTTACAGACATACGTTAATACTGGAATTTTTGCAGTGTGGCCCTTTGGCAGATAAAAATTGCAAACATTTTTCTTCTTTGACCTTTAGGCTACCCTTCAGAACAGAAAACTGTGGCATATTTGCCTGATACATGGGAATCTTCAGAATAATCATCTGTGAAATATTAACCTACAAAATCATGGAATATCACCTTCTTTCAATCTTTGGCTGTACTTCCAAAAATACACCCATTGTCTAAATATCATGCTGTGTGAGAGAGTTTGTGAATCCATGGTAGACATGAATTTTCCTCTTGAGAGAGTATTGGGTAACATTGTTGGCATCTCTGCTTTTCTGAATGATCTTCCTCTTACGACTTGAGGTGACTTTAAGTTAAACTGATAAAGGAAGTGGGATTTTTTTGGTTCTCTTTGCCATCTTTATTGCCAAGATGGCTTCTGTCCGGTTCATGGTTACCCCCACTAAAATTGATGATATCCCAGGCCTCTCTGATACTAGCCCAGACCTCAGCTCCCGCTCTAGCTCCTGCGTCCGCTTCAGTTCCAGAGAAAGTGTCCCTGAAACAAGCCGCAGTGAGGGTGGCAGTGATTTTTCCAGAGCAACCACTTCATTGGCCACTGAAGCAGCCGAGCCAGCTTCTGACAAGACAACCAATCCCCGCACAGATGTGGCTGAAGGTAGGTCACCTTTGGTGGGGGGGAGAAGGAACATTGAAAAGCTACTAGTAACTTTGCCAGTGGAGAATGGCAACTTCTGAGTGCCTTGGTGGTAGAAGAACATTGAGAGTTATGCTGAAAAATGGACAGGCCTTGGAAGCTTCTTGTTCAGAAGTTGTGGGAAGCACAGTTCCATTCTTGGTGGTGTTGCTCATGCAAAGAAGTATTTCCTGTATTTTGGGAGGTGCAAGGGTGTGTTCATGATGGCAGACGAGTGTGAATGGATCTGTCTAAGTTTATGCATGGATTTCATATTCGGTGCTTTTTGGCAGATGTCATTTTCAGACATGACTGGATTATCCAGATTTGGATCTTTAAAATACCTTTGCTTGTCCCATCTACTTATGCCAAGGTTTGACTAATATAGTTCTGGTTTACAGGAGAGAAGATAATAGTTCATTTCTTACATTTCCTGACCTGTCTCATTGGAAGCTCTGAATCTCTCTGCTTCTAAAACAAGCTGATTTTGTTGTCTTCAAACTGTGGTTTCTCATTTTGCTGATCGGTCCAGTTTTTCAGATTCCTTCTCTTTATGTTTTTTTCCTTGTGCTGGGAAATGCTGAGCAAGACTCATGGGAAATGACTTGGGAGAATTTCAGTTCCCTTAATCTTGTTGATTGTCCTGTCTGATGCATTTTAAAAGGAAAAAAAACCCTCTGAGATCAGGCTAGGCTTTGCTCAGTCACCACTGAGTCAAAGTCACATCTTCATTGTGGAGTTTCTGAATGGCAACATTGAACTGTCAACAGTCCTTTTAGATCCAGCCGGTCTGTGGTTCATTGTCCGTCTTCTGAACCTTGTTTTGTTCTAAAAAGCATTTGTCCTAAATTGCCCTACAATCTCCCAATTGAAACAAGTTGAAAATAAAAATAAAAAGGAGTGAAACGAAAGACAGGGAGAAAGATTCATTTTTCAAAGCATCATCTAAGAAAGTGAAATACCATAGGCGAAGGCTTAGACAGTAAAGTTCTTTTTTTCTGCTCAGCAGAGGCTGTTAACAAGAATCACTTCTGGGAAATCTGTGCTTTTGATAACTGAGACTTGATTCCCCTCTACCAATCTATGTTTATGTATCTGCACTGATTAGTTATAACCATGTGTGGCCACCAGTTTGGTAATTAATACCTTTTTGTGATGCTGCTATAAGAAAGTAACTGTAGAAAGGGAATAATTCCTCTGATATTTTTTTTCTTCATTGGGTATGGGCGTATGTAGATAAGTTGAATCCTTAATTTATATTATACTATGACATACATATTAATATCAAACCTAAGTGCATTATAAGAAGTGGGTAAGTAGATTAGAAATTGTATGGTGCAGCTGCATCCTTCTATAGCAGTCATTCCCATCCTATAGTCTGTGGACAACCGTGGTTTGTGAGAATACTGTACGTGGCCCCTCACATGGGCACCAGCATTTTATATTAATGGATAACATTGCCTAAGATTTTTGGACCGTATGAGATTTCAGCATTCCTGCTCAAATTATCATAAGATTTTAGGTGGAGCATCAAAATCTTATGAGAGTACATGATCTCTCAAGTTTTCAACCGTTAAATTAAGTATTTTAAATTAAAATTTGGTATCCTGCAGATGCCTTCAGTGTGGGTGATATCTGCAGTGTAATGGTGTTCCTGAAGGATTCTGAAATGGGCTGAAATGCTCAAATAGTTGGTTCTGCAAGTAATCTGGCTTGGTGCCATGCCGGGCTTTAAAGGTGATAACCAACACCTTGAATTGTATATGGAAGCATACTGAAAGCCAGTGCAGCTCGTGCAGCAGTGGTGTTACACTGGTGGACTTAGGAGCACCCAAAACTACGGGCCGCTGCATTCTGAAACAGTTGAAGCTTCTGAGTATTCTTCAAGGGAAGCTCCATCTAGAGCACATTGCACTTATCTACTCAGGAGGTGACAAAGGTATGAATGACAATGAACAGAGTCTCCCAATCCAGAAATGAGCATAACTGGTACATGGGACTAATCGGTGCACATCTCTTTGAGCAGGAGCCATGTGTCCAGGAAGATCCCCAGATTGCCTATTAACTCTTTTCTGGTGGAGTGCTACTCCAACTGTAGTAAGATATATAAAATCACCAGATCTAGAAGATCCAAAAATCCAGAACCACTTGGATTTGCCAGGGTTGAGCTGCAACCTGTTCTCCCCCATCCAGACCCCCACAGCTTCTAGTCACTGGATAAGAACCTCGAAAGCATCACTTCTACACCCAGGTGTGAAATAAATAGCTGAGTACCATCCTGGTATTGGTGGTGCTAACAAGTGACTTCATCCAGTGATTTCATGTATATGTTAAATATGAGCAGAGAGACAGAGTTGAGCTGTGAGGCACCTCACATAAGAGAGGTTTAGGGCTAGACCTCTCCCCCTCTCCATCAACACCAACTGGAACTAGCATGGGAGGAGGGAGGAGAACTATTGCAAATGGGCCCAGTTCAGAAAGATACCATGATCAATGCTATCAAAAGCTGCTGAGAGATCTAGAAGGGCAAAGATAGATGCACCATCACCATTGCAGGTCCTCTGGAGGTCTATACAAGTGCAACCAATGTTGTCTCAGTACTATAATCTGGCTTCAAAGCTGTCTGAAACGATCCAGATAATCAGCTTCTTCCAAGGCCTGAAGAAGCTGTGCACTTACCATCTTCTCAACAACCCTTCCTAAAAACGGAAGGTTGGAAACTGGATGAAAATTATCCAGTATTGTTGGCTCTAAGGATGGCTTCTTGAGGAGGGGATGGACCATTGCCTCCTTCAAAGCAGGTGAAACCATCTCCTCCTGCAAAGAAGCATTCACTACAGCTTGGACTCAACTACGTGCTATCTCCTGGCTGGCCTTGACCAACTAGGAAGGACATGAATCTAAAATACAGGTGGCAGAGCTCAAAGCTCCAAGGACCCTGTCTACTTCCTCAGGGCTAACCAGGTTAAACTCATCCCAGATAGCAAGACTGTGTCTCAGACTTGCCCAGCTAGAGTCCAACTCCAAGTGGATCCCAGCGGCTTTGTCCAATAGATGCCTAGAATAGTCCTCACAGTGACCCTGCTAAACCTTCAGCAACCCATCCTTATCAAGAAAGGGTCTGGTCACCCAACAGTGGGCTGCCAGTTGGCTACCCATGGACACAATAAAAGCAGGGAAGCAGGCCTGCTTCATCGTTCTTTCTGCCACCTAATAAGTCCAAATAAAGACTCTTACCCATGCTCAGTTGGATTTGCTCTTTGTCCTCCTCCAGAGGTACTTTAGGAGTCTCTTGTGACATTTCATCTGCCGGAGCTCCTCAGAAAACAGGAGGTTATATGGGACCTCCAATCATGAAGAGTATACACCGGTGCATTTGTTGCCTTGAAACTCAGGGACTGAGTTTTGTGTGGAGCTGGAGGAACATAATCCCTGAATTTGGGAGAGAAAACATCAACCTTTGCAAAGTGGCTTTTTTGCCCCCTCCCCTGAAAATATGAATCCCCAAGTACTTCAGGCAAAGCGAAAAGCATTTATAAAGGGGGATCAAGTCTTTATATAGGGTACAGAAAGAAATGTTACATACATTTGGCATACATGATGCGTCAGAAAGTAACTAATCAAAGAAAAGACATTAATATTCAATAAAGGCTTTGTTTTGTTGGATGTGAGAAAAGACAGATGCCCTTAAAATACGTTGCATCCTCTCCTTTCCCATCCTGGCTTGTTTCTTTAACATTTGCAACACTCAAGGACTCCAGAATACTCTCCCTATTGTTTAGTTTCTGAATAGGCTAGTTTTTGCATGTAAAAGAAAGAAATGGCTTTGGCTAAAAGAAAAATATGGTTTCCTGAACTTCAAAAGGAGGCATGGATGCCATTATTAGCTAATAACGAAGCCTAATAACAAAGCCTAAATTTCCAGGTAACAATTCTAGACAGCAACCAAGGCTTTGGCTGGAGCGTGCAGCCGAGTTTCAGGAATAACCCCAAGTTCCCTCTGAAACCCTACTGGGTCATCAGTTGCCTGGGTCGGAGCGATCAAATAGGTCTTTCCTCTCTGCAGTGGGGAGCAGCCACGGAGAAATGCAGAGCTAGAAGGTAGTTTGGGTAGTTGCCTGGCATCAACTTTGACATGAAGGAGTTACTGCAGTGCACCATTTTTCCTCTTTCTTTTGTGACAATTGTGTCAGCAGTTGCTCGTGTTTCACCTTGATATGACCTGTAAATAGTCTTGGGTACTGCAAGGAATAATGGTTGTGCATATGTATATCTGAAAGCTGTGGACTTTTATATTGTGTTTCTCCCCTTAGATTTTTGCAATGCCTGTGGGATGTTTTTGTCCAAATACTACATTTGGTAGTAGGCAAGTTTGAGGCACGTTAAATTGTGAACGTTGGCAGGCTGCCTTTTCCTCATAGTTGGTTTGCTCAGTTCTTGCCCAGCTTAGCTGAGAACTGATGTGCACATGTTCTGCAAGTTATCAATGTCTTATCCTTCAGGAAGCGTAACTTATATGGTTATTTAATTATATTTTATACCTTTTTTCCCCTAGAAGAACAATTTTGGGAGAACACAAATAAAAACAGTAACCACATAATGTTATTTTTTGTATCTCCTGCTCCTGTTCCTTCTCCATAGCACTTTCCTTCTCATCACTAAATTCATCTCACTCAGTTTACTCCAGTCATTTATACTTCCTACTTTCTTTTTAGTCCATGCGGATGTTACATGCAGACCATTGGTATAAATGTAGGCCATTGAGTATATTTCTCTATTGGCCCTTCATTTTTCTCCTTGTTACTGCTTTAGTATTCATAGTATCTATTAGACAAGTTATTTTTCTTTTTTTCATAATTCTTATTAAAGAGATATTTAATAAGATAAAATCATACAAATTTTAGAAAAGAAATAAAGAAAATAGAGAAAAATACTGAATAGGTAAGAAAGAAAATAGGAAAAAGAAAGAAAAGAAAAAAAAG